TTATGATTGAATAAAATTTATTTTATACTTTGAACATTAATGAGAGAGAGAGAGAGAGAGAGAGAGAGAGAGAGAGAGAATACACTGTGACAATTTCAAGTCCATTGATCTTACCGTTTCTGTCAAAAAAATTCGTAAAAATAGCCTTGAAAACCACTCGTTCCGCATGTACGAGTAATTCCTACCCTAACAAACGTCGAGCGCTTTTTACTTCTTCGCTCTCCTCGCACGCGCACACACATACACACACACACACACACACCTAACCGGGATTCCTCGGTGTCTGCTGCTGGAAGGTTCCCATTTTCCCTTTGCCGTCGCGCGATCCGCTCGCAAATATGCTGAATTTGATTAAACGCCCGGCTTCCCGGTGCGTACTCGGCAGATGCTTACGCGGCGTTCTCGGACGAATCGGAATTCGCACGCGTTGGCCGTCGCAATTACACACATGTGTGTGCACATGTCGTGTCTCCATTTGACGTGAGAAACTAGATTAGAAACCGATGAGATCGAGACGTTACGATCGATTAAGAAGCGTCCCCCGAAAACGAGAGACCGACGCTCGACTCCCCCCCCCCCCCCCCCGTCGCTGAGGAAGTTCGCACGTGCCCCGTAATGTCACGTGCGACGTCGGTGACGTCACCGTGCACCTCTTCTCGAGGTGTATCGGTCTGGCGAGGAGATGGTTTACGTCTCTGTCTTGGCTCGAATTTTCAAGCTTTCGTAATAGAGAAAGGAGGCGCGAGAGAAGCCGACGAGGCGAAAGATCGCGGCTGGAAGATACAACGACAAACGCGTTCTCGGTGTCTTCTTCGTGACATTTGATCCGCCGTCAACGTTCTCCACGTCGGCTAGCTGGCTGGCGAGCGAGAGAGCGAGCTCTCGTATTCGACACGAATACCAAACGTCGCTGGATTTCCGTCGAAACTATCGTATCGTGTTCGTCGTATCGCAATTTCGCTTCCTTCTCGAGTGCGTCCTTGTCTTCCCGAGAAACTTCGTTTCGGCGACGTCGTCGTCGTCGTCGTCGTCGTCGGCTCGCTCGAATCGCGCGCGCGCGCGAGAGACGGCCGAACGCTCTCGTCGTTTCTCTCTCTCTCTCTCCCACTTTCAGCTCTCCGTCGAGAGTCCGCAGCGATATGAGGAAGATAATACTGGGGCGACGCGAAATTAGATTGCGACAGCCGCGCGCTCAAGTTAAAGCCGCTCTCGCTGAAGTTAAAGACGGTACTTAATGCGCGTTACAGTTGCAGCCCTCGTCGCTGATATTACCGGGGCGCGCTTTATTCGGAGTATAAATGACTCACGCACCGTAAAGAGTCGTCTTGCACAATCGGCGCGCGATCACGAAAGCAGGAGAGATATAAACCTCGGACGGGGAATAATTCTCCGCCGGAGGAATTTTCAGCTGACATAATCCGCCGACCCGCGGAATGCGAAGCTCGCTCGCTCACTTACTCGCTTCGTCTCGTCTCGCGGACGCGGCCGACGAGTCACGCTCGTCCTCGCCGAATTGTTATCGTCCTTGCCCCGCGGATTCTCGTACGATAGTCCCGGGAGTAATAACGCCTCGTCGACGTTGCGCAATGACACTCGCCTCTCGCGACGCTTTCGGGCGGCATAATATCGCGCCGAGGCTCTCCTCGACCGTCAACGTGCGCTGCTTCGAGAGCTTCAGCAGATGTTTAGCGTCCAATGGCCGTTCCAGGGATTACCGTCACCCCGTATCCGTATCTCGCGTTGAATGTGACCACTCGAGTTGCGCGAGCTTGTCGCGCTGGGTGGGGTCGAATAAGAGAACTCCGCAGCAACCGGCGCCTGCAACGCCGGTTACAACAAAAGACCGTGCTTTTCAGGTGTAGCTTCACGGCGACGGCGTGATTAAAAGAAAACCACGCTCATTGGGTGAAGGCAGCCGATCACTTGAAAGATAATGTCACTCGCGAGCCGCCGGCGTACGCTTATTGTCGTAAATAAACTTACTCTCGTATTCACGGCTGCCGGGCTGTAATGTTTTTTCAGGCCTGAGTGAAACGCTCTATCTCGCTCTCGCTCTCTCGTTTGTCGGAAATTTATTTCAAGCGGAAAGCCCGAAGGAAATAAGAGGCTCGTGTTAATAAGCGTTTTGCTTGGAGCGTTATCTCAAATGAGATAACACTCGGATCTGTATTTAGAGTTGGAACTGATTTTTTAATAAAGCGCAGACTCGCGTTTTTTTTTTGTTTTATTTCTTTTTTTTCTTCATATAAAGTCGTGGAACTCGACGAAAAATTTCGAATCTGGTTATTTTATAATAAATTTTATTACATTAAAATTTATTCTAATAAATTTCTGTTATATCAAATTTATTGTATTAAATTAATTTTATTATATTAAAAAGTTTATTATAATAAATTTTATTATAAATTTAGGTCCGAATGTTTCTCCGCGAGGTAAGTCTCAAGTAACGACTGCCAGCGCGTTGGCCGTCACCGATAAACGACCGATAGTCTAATTAAATTGCGTGTAAAGCATAATTGATCGCGTCAGTGAAGTCGCTTTTACGCTCGATAAAGGACCGATGAGGCCATATAGAAGACACACGTATCCCAAGTACATCGCATCGATTTACCGTAATTTTTCTGAATTCGATCGTCGCCGAGGCTTTTCCGTGCGATCAACGCGGTGATAGTCAACGCTTTCGGATCAACTACCGATCTCTCTCCGGAAAGGCACGACCTCTGTGTATAAAGAGACATAAAGCATAAAAAGACCTGCGTTGTCGCGCAGCCTTGATCCGCCGCGAGACGAATCGCTCTTTTCGACAGGACCTCCTCCGGGAGGAGCGCGCGGCGAATTCGCCTTGACTTTCTCACGTTGTGCAACTCCGAAAACGGATTGTGCGTCATCGCCGAGAAAGAATCCGCGCGTGCGGGGAGTAGTGGACTACAGCAGCGAGCGGCTGCATGACGCATGCTGAAGAGACAACGACATCGTCGCGAGCGGTGGCGGCGCGGACGATGTAATGCGTACAAAGAGCCGCTTCGAGATCACGACTCCCGATGACTCTCCTCTAATCGCGCGACCGACTCGTTAGAGGAGCCCGGGGGACACGATGACGAGAGTCGCGGTGACCGCCGCGAGGCAGTAGCGAAGCCGATTGTTAACACTCGGGTGAAAATAGAATCGCCGTTGTTCGTGCGGGAGTTGGCCAACTGCCGAGCGATTCGATTTGCTCGAATTACGGCGATATGCCGTGAGAGGCGATCATGGTCAGACCGAACAGGGAAACGATTACGTTACGTAATATGCGAGTTGTTGCCCGAGCTCTCTCGGTGATCAAACGCGCGAGGGATCGGAGGGATCGGGATCATGATCAATGGTCGGGGGGGGGGCGCATTGATCAAACGACAGGTCTATTATATCTCGCACGATTGTCCCGCATTGGACGCGGCAGTTCAACGATTCCTGCGGCTTTAACTTTTTGAGGCACGTATTTTGCAGAAAATCCGCATCACATGAAAATTTATATACGGGGGTTTCTGAGGTCGCTGATGACCGTTATCAGATCCGTTATCAGATTTTCGAAATTCAAGATGACGGCCACAAATATGAAAAATCGCGAAAATTTCGGTGACATCGGTGTGATTCGTAATCAGCGACCTTGAAAGCTAACCACAGTATAATTTCAGCTAATCATATAAAAATTTTATGATCCGCCATCTTGGAAAATAAAGTTTAAAATTTGGACCTCAGATTCGTAATCAGCGACTCAAAAAAACCCTAAATCTTAATTTTGAGCAAAGTATTCACTCATAGTTCGTGGAAAATGATTTTTTCTGTAAAAATGTATATTTTTCATACTTTGTTTATTTATAATAAATGGACAACTTATGCAAAACACTTTTCAACCTTTTATGTATGTTCCTATATCATATAAGAAGCTAAAAAACACAAAAAACACCCGACAAGAATTCCTCAAATATAAAATATTTCATGAAAATGTGAGAATAAATAGGTGGTAAGTATATTTACAACTATGCCTCAGAGGGTTAAAAGGGTGATAGACAGCCAGATAGAATAGGAAAGCGTGAAATGTGAAAATTAAATTAAATATCGCCGGTAAGTAGTAGGATCGAATAGAAAGAAATTAAAATTTCAATCTCTCTTTCTCTCTCTCTCTCTCTCTCTCTCTCTCTCTCTCTCTCTCTCTCTCTCTCTCTCTCTCTCTCTCTCTCTCTCTCTCCCCCCTCCCTCTCTCTCTCCTCTCTCTCAGACAACATAATAGACGTTTATTTATAAAGTCGACAGCCACGATCCGTTCGTTCTAGCGCTAAAAATATCGCGCTGTTTTGAAGTCCAAAATATCTTCGCGTGTGACGCGAGGAGACAAGCAAAAAATTTCAAAGGAGATTGAAAATAGAGATAATGGAGGAATCGTGCGACGCGGATTGCGTAAGAGATCGCTCGAGGAGGAGAGCGTCGTCTCTCGCCGAGCGAATAAATAAAGCGTGACATCGGGAGAAATGGGAGCGGAATTAGCGCAAGTTTGATGCGACTCTCTCGATTCGGTCGATCGGACGGGAGAAAATGACGGCGAGACTTGCGTGGTGAATGTGTGTATGTGTGTGTGTGTGTGTGTGTATTATCTAGGTGATGGGCGCGTTCGCCCGTCAGAGATTCATGATAGGCGCGTGAGCGCGTTGTCGGAGAATTAGTTCGTGCACTGGTCGTCGTTGTGGTGTCGCGCGGGTGACGTCAACAGCTCGCTGGTGCGGCAGCTTATCGCTCAGAGATATAGCAGGATAATCAAAGCGAGATACCGCGGAATTTGCATGCTAGCGCGCTGCAGATAAGCGACGGGGAATCGTTGCTCTTGCAGGCGAACGATGACGTGTAACGTCATAACGAGTATGAACCTGGATAGAAAAATAATCCAGGGTACCAATTTGGCATTCAGTAGTAACATCTAGTTTCCCGTCCTGATCCTGAAACGTGCGACTAACGAAGGAATTTTCCAGGCATCGACGATCGATGGACGTCGAAAAGGCGCCTGCCTGTTCTGCCAGGAGTACTTCATGGACTTGTACCTATTAGCGGAGCTCAAGACGATTTCGCTGAAGGTGACCACCGTAGACATGCAGAAGCCGCCTCCCGATTTCCGCACCAACTTCCAGGCCACACCGCCGCCGATCCTGATCGACAACGGCGACGCGATACTGGAGAACGAGAAAATCGAACGGCACATCATGAAGAACATACCCGGCGGGCACAATCTGTTCGTACAGGATAAGGAAGTAGCCACTCTCGTGGAGAACTTGTTCAGTGTGAGTATGTCGGGTTTTCTTCGTCTTTTTAAACTGAAAGTGAAACTACTCGGGTGACCAAATTGTCGCCAGGTTGAACTATGTCTCTCTCTCTCTCTCTCTCTCTCTCTCTCTCTCTCTCTCTCTCTCTCTCTCTCTCTCTCTCTCTCTCTCTCTCTCTCTCTCTCTCTCTCTCTCTGTCGCTCCCTCCCTCTCTCATTCTCTCACTCTCACTCTCTCTCTCATTCTCTCTCTCTCTCTCTCTCTCTCTCTCTCTCTCTCTCTCTCTCTCTCTCTCTCTCTCTCTCTCTCTCTCTCTCTCTCTCTCTCTCTTTCTATAACGAGGCAAGAAATTATATACTGATCACGCAATTCGTTCCTTCGCAGAAACTCAAGCTACTGCTGCTGAACGCAAAGGACAAGGATAGGGATCCTAAGTCATCGTCACTGATGGCGCATCTGCGCAAGATCGACGAACATCTGGGCCGTAAGGGCACGCGCTTCCTTACCGGTGATACCATGTGCTGCTTCGACTGCGAACTGATGCCGCGGCTGCAGCACATCAGGGTTGCCGGCAAGTACTTCGCAGACTTTGAGATACCGGAGACCCTGGTGCACCTCTGGCGGTACATGCATCATATGTACAGGCTCGACGCTTTCCTGCAGAGCTGTCCAGCTGATCAGGATATCATTAACCACTATAAACTGCAACAGGTGAGACTCTGCGGTTCTTCGGTTTCCTCATAATTGCCGGTCGTCTCAGTTGAATTGAGTAATTGCCACGTTTCTCGACATGTACGCCCACGTACGCGTTTCTCTCTCTCTCTCTCTCTCTCTCTCTCTCTCTCTCTCTCTCTCTCTCTCTCTCTCTCTCTCTCTCTCTCTCCGTCGGTCGTTCGCGATGACGCAATCGTTGGCCGCGGTAATCCGGCGACTTTCGCACGCCCATCGACGTGTATATAATTATAACGAGCTTCTTGTAAACGTTCTGCAGAGTATGAAGATGAAGAAGCACGAGGAGCTGGAGACGCCAACCTTCACCACAAGTATCCCGATCGAGGTCAACGACGACTAGGCATACCGCGCGAGCGCACGTGCGGACCTTCCTCCGAAGTTGAGTCTGCGATCGCGTGACTTCGATTAGACATCGAGATCGGCCGGCCTAACGAGACGAATCGACGTCCCTAAAGCGGAGTTTCAACGGCACGCCTTTTTGTAATTTAATATCTAGCAGCAACGAAAACGATCGACCATTGGGACTCCTGTCTTTCTCAGCTGCCAAGCTCGTAGTCGTCGCCACGTCATTGATCGGTTCATATTTTCTACTAATCATTGTTAGATTGTCATCGAGCCTTTCTCTCTCTTCTCTCTCCCCTCTATCTCTCTTCCTCTCTCTCTTTTTTCTCTCTCTCTCTCTCTCTCTCTCTCTCTCTCTCTCTCTCTACCCCGGATAGGATTCGAGTCAGATATGAATAAATTAGCTTTTTTACCGTAACGACGCAAAAACATATACAAGTGCATTTAAAAGCTTTAGAAAAATCTTACAATTCTTACACTTACGGTCTTCTTCCTCGTTTCCTTCTTCGTTGCTGTACTTTTCCATTACGTACGACAGGTGTACGTAGTTTTGACCTGAGTAGTATTAGTAAGATTTTAATTTGCTACTGTTGATGTAAACGATTGAGTTTATAACGGAAGAGGAGTTGGTTTTCTCGCCGTTCCAGCGAGATGAGCCGTGAAAACCAACACCACGGTGAATGCAAAAGAAACGTATGCGTCGAACGGAACAACCGAAATTGGTGCCATTGCTTATAATTTTGGGGTCTTAATTGAAGTGATTCTTTTGCTTAGCGACGTACTGTTATCGTGTAGAATAAAACGTAAGTACGTAAACCAAATTAGAACACGAAATAAATAATATGAAATATTTCGTTATTGTATCTTCAAGTTGCTATTATAAATATCTTCTTGTGCGTTAGACTTCTTTTCCATTGTCATCGCTCCTTCGTGTCACACGAGAACTATCCTAAGAACCAAGATACTTAAGCACGACTGAAACCATTCATACTCGAACGAATTCACGAGTACGGAATTCAGAATTGTAAAAGCAAAAGAAACAGAATTTTTCTTTGACACGGCTTTAGAGTCTCATGCATTGTCGTGCGATCGGTGCACGTTTTCGATATACGTAGAAGGAATAGCAAAACATAGCGATCCAGAGTGTGTACGTTTCTTCTGGATTCCGCAGCATTGTACGAGGCATCTTGTTATTCCCGTTTCTCATTGTTACACATTTACCTACCGAGTTATATAAATGAGGTGAAACGGAAAACAGGCACCGCGAATGATCGATGTTTCACGACCTTTTTCCCGAGTCGGATGAGTTGACAGCGCATTTAGGAAAGAAGAAAAGGAAAAACAGCATCTCCGCTTATTTGCACTAATACACGAACCACTGTGCTCTAAAAACAAAAAAAAATTGGAAAAAACGAGCAACTGTGTGTACTCGATATTCCGTATTAGTAATTCTATTATAATTATAATTATTATATTATTTTGGTTTATATATCCGTAGAAACGTCAATATACCAGTGTTTACAGTAATCCGTTACATCCCGTTATTTATCACAACGCAAGTATCCCATGCGACTAAGTCTTCTGCACTATGTAGAACCTTAAATACCGATTGACAATGCTCTTCGGTACAAAATCCCCTCGATGTTGCAATTTTAAATACGCCGAAGTTAAAAGGAGTCGCACACATGCGAAGGTGAGGTGTAAGTTCCGGTCGCGACGTTAAAGTTAAGTGAACGGCACTTGATAATCAACATTTAATAAGATTATAAGAGACCATTTATATATAGACGAGATTCTCTCTCTCTCTCTCTCTCTCTCTGTCGTCTCGTTCGACGCGACTTCAGTTTTGACTCGTACGTTCCCTCACTTTCGCCGCTCGGTCGATCTACTTTCTGTCGCGAGCACGGCGGTATTTTTGCACGAGTTTCTCGTCACCGACGCGAGAATCTGGAGGACGAAATCGGACACATGCATAGAAGATAGACGTGCGAGAGGAAAGGAGAAAACGCATGCTCGTCGGTGTCCGAGTCTCGTACGCGTTTTAAAATAGCCCGCGCCGTTCCTTCCTCCTTGTTACCCCGCGCGCGCGCCACCCTCGGCCGCGTGACTGCGACGAACTATTATGACGCGTTTTCCATTCATAAATAGGATGGCACTTGTCGGCGCGGCGGCCATCTTGACTACGTGATCGCGCGAGTTTCCGTGGATTCGGTGGACTGTCGCCATTCGCGAGCGCGTCTCCCTGGAAAAATCAGCGCGGTTCTCGACCGAATAAACGTCGCTCGTCGCATGGAATCTCGCGGTCACTGTCGATCGACCTGGTGCGTCGCACGGGAGCTACGGTGAGTAGCGCGGTGCTCGGTACGCAGTCCACAGCTGATCAGTGGCCCCGACGGACGGTAGCCGTTCGGCTCGTTTCGAAAGTCTGTTTCCGCGAGGACGCGTAAAGAAGCGGGAGAGAAAGAGAAAGAGAAAGATCACGAGAGGAAAGAACGCGCTGGAGGCCGGTGCGGATCGACCGCGTGCGTCGCGATCATGCACGGTAACAGGTGAAAGCCCCAAAAGCGAGGAAGAAAGAGACAAGACAGAGTAGAGACGCGGCGGAGCGAGTGAGAGCGTGAGCTCGCGAGGGCGCGCGAGAGAGAGAAGGAGAGAAGGAGAGCGCTCTGGTGGACGACAAAGCGCGCGCGGATACGGGATCCTCTCGACGAGCGAAGTGCGGCTGGCCCCTTCCTTCTGCTACCGACGAGGAAGAAGAAGAAGAAGAAGAGGAAGGAGGTGGTGCACAGCAGCAGCTCGTGAGCCGCTCGCTCGTCGGACGTTTCCGATGGTTGCCGTCCGGTGAGTCGAAACGCCTACTTGTTCGGTCGTCGCGGAGAAATGCAAGTTCGGGTCTAAAAGCAGCGGCGCTCTTTAGATCGATCATCGTCTTCGTCGCTGTCGTTCATATCAATGAGCACGACGACAACGAAGACGACGACCACGGCGTCTCGCGTTGCTCGCGCACTCTTCGCCGCGAGGAACGAGAGAAAGAGGAAGGGAACGCGCGGAGCGGAGCGCACTCTGACTTTTACTCGCGTCGGACACCCCATGCGGCACGAAAATACACCTGCGATGGAATGCACCGGATGGATACACCGCTCCGCAACAACAATGCGGCTTCTAGAGATTCGGGCATTGTAGGGCCGCTTTCTCTCTCTCTCTCTCTCTCTCTCTCTCTCTCTCTCTCTCTCTCTCTCTCTCTCTCTCTCTCTCTCTCTCTCACTCTCTCTCGCTCACTTTTTCTCTCTCTCTCTCTCTCTTTTTTTTCTTTCCATTCCTCTTCCTCGTTCTTGTTTCGGTTGTACACTTGTCGTGCCTTCCCTTCTGCCTTCTGCTCGACGACGCGATCCTGCGGGCGAACGGATCCGTCGAGGTTATTATGTAGTCGGTACTTCGGCAAGTACGATCGGAGACCGATTTGGAGGAGCGAGGCGAGGAAAATCTGTGCTTTGTAAGGTCCATTTTGGAGGTGGATGTGTGGTAATAATTGGTCCGTTTTTGTTTTTCGCCTGCTCGTTCGTACTGATGTCTTTTGCATTTCACACGGGACGATTAACGCCGTAAATAATAATAATAAATGTACGTTCAATATTTCTTTCATCTTTGTTGCTTCTGCAGTGGTGCGATTCTGTAACTCGTTATTGGAGTTAACGACGTTTTCGGTTATCGTTGCGCAGCTTTTGTATACCATATAAAAGCTGCGCAACGATAACGAAACTGTCGTTAACTCCAATAACGAGTTACAGAATCGCACCACTGCGGACTTTACCAATTGTGAGCCTCTTTTTGTTCTCCCGTCGAGTTTCCTCCTTCGGTCGGCTTCTTCCTCAAGGCTCTACATCATTTTCGTCAGCTTTTGTGAGAGCTCGACTCTGTGCTTTCTCGGATATCGAAATCGAAATTTGAACTCGTTTTGCGAGAACAATTCAAAAATATAGGAGGTTTGAGAGAGAGAGAGAGAGAGAGAGAGAGAGAGAGAGAGAGAGAGAGAAAAGGGGAAGAGAGTTGCCGAGTCACCTCTGCGCGCTATAACGCCCAACTTCCGGAACTCGCGTCGGTTTCGATACTTGCGTAAGCGACTTATGATAATCTTGTTTGTATAATCCGCTATAAGTCACCCCCAACGACGAGAAAAAAGAAGAGAGAGAGACAAAGATACGCGGCGCGATTTGCATGCACGCGACTAAGTTATTACGTGCTCGCATAAAAGCCCAAGTTACGAGGTGGAGGCACAAACAGGCGGCTATTTCTTTGATGCGCCGACGATCTATAGACTTGTTTTTCTCAACTAGAGTGCTGCACAGAAACTTCATTCCCCCCCCCCCTCTAACACTAAGTTACCGAGCAAATCTTTCAACGAGCGCACACGAAGCGAGATCGTCAAACTTCCCGGCGTGAAAATTCGAAGGAAAGGAAGAAGACTAAGTTACACATATCTGTTTCATTCAGGGCTAATTGTGTTCCAACTTGTTGGTAAATTAAAACTGATAGTTAAATCATATGTTTGTCTTTGTTTTTTTTTTTTCCCCTCGACTTAGACAAAGACAGACGTATGATTTAACTATCGGTTAACTTACCAGGGAATTAGAACAAACGCTGCCCTCAATGGCAAAGAGCGCAACCTAATCTAGTTCAGCTGGAAAGAGCACGTTTTATTCAACAGACCCGTTCTTTCTCCCCTCTTGGTGCGCGAAGAAGCATTCAGCGGCGTTTCTAAGGAAAAGAGAAGACGATTGTGCGTATTCGTTGGGAGAGAGATTTATGCGACAGTCGCGTAAATTGAACCGTCGAGCAGCGGCCAAGTACGTATCGGCACGTAGAGAGCGGATATTAGTTGCGCGATAAACGCTCTCGCGCTCTGTAACAGCCGCATCAATTTAACGCTCCGCCATAAAACAAATGTATCGCGTGCCTGTCATAACAAGCCCGCGGTGGCGCGACTTACGTCTCGCTGCGTCGGTTTATTTAAAGTCGAAGTACTAGGGACGATTGGCCAACGACGGGAGAGAGAGAAAGAGAGCAGGTGCGCGCCGCTCTCCTGCGATCGAGACGTTCCGAGGTGTCAATTGACGCGCCACGTTGTCGTCGTCGTCGTCGTCGTCGTCGTCCACTCGCGCGCATATTTGTCGCGGCGCGAGTTCCGCCCGACGCGAGGATCCTCGCGACGTCGAAATTTTCATTTTCACTGGCTCACGATCGCCAGACAGCTCGCAGCAGACTGATCGCGCCGAAGGATACGGTTGTTTTTTTTTTTTGCCATTGATAAGCCAGCCGGCGAAGTATTTAGCGTTCTCAGGCTTAATTGACGACGAAATCGCGCGATCGTCGATCAATCAAAGTCGCGGATCCATCGCCTTTTGATTTGACGTCCCGTATGCAGGCGTGTGGCCACATTGGTGTTTGCCGTTTTTCGCGCGTACGAAAGAGAGAGGGAGAGAGAGAGAGAGAAAGTATATTATTTTCGGTATATATATATATATATATATATATACGATGGGGTGTTTATTTTCGCCACGCGGTCGCGACTTATCGCGACTCTGCTTAACGTTAACGGTGCGTCCCCCGTCAATTATTATTCTTGGTTCCTTATTTTCGTCTGGCCAACTTGACGCCCCCGACGTACGTTAAACTCCACACCACGCGGATTAGCCGTCGGGCTCTGGTAGACCTCTGCTCTACGAGACGTCGAACGCGAACTCGCCGCGCCGCGCCGCGACGCCGAGAGTTCGTCTTAATTCGACTTTTTCGGACGATATCTCGGGAGATTGATAACAATGTGATAACAATAACGCGAAAATCCGGTATTCAATGGGAAAATTTATCTCCTGAGAATTATCGAGAAGCGAATTCTTTTCCATCGGACACGGATGCGTTGCGAAGCTCGTTAAATGAAACGAGTATTACGGTATTTCTTCCGTTAAATGTGTTTGAAGAATCATGTTTATGTTGGAACGAATTTTGTATGTTCTCTCTCTCTCTCTCTCTCTCTCTCTCTCTCTCTCTCTCTCTCTCTCTTCGGTTGCTGCTCAGAGCTTATTACGTCCGTACGTCGCTGCTAATGAGAGCTTATCACGTGCAATTAACCGGTGAGGTCGTCGCGAAGCAACAGGTGTTCCCCGCCGTACACATAGTGCCGCGTACACTTTGTCATTTTAGAAACGTGCCGCCTCGTCATGTAACTCGACACAGGCGAAACGCGCAAGACGAGCCGCAAGCTTCGAATTCGTTCGGGAGATTTTTCACCGCGTCGTTTATCCTCCCGCGGAAACAACCGACGCGAGTATCGCGGAATCGCGAGCGTATTTCGTCGTACTTTGTCTCACTTGTGTATGAGAAAGAATTGAGAGAGAGAGAGAGAGAGAGAGAGAGAGAGAGAGACTCTCGACCAATAGTTTCCTCTCTCTCTCTCTCTCTCTCTCTCTCTCTCTCTCTCTCTCTCTCTCGGAACTCCGTCAGACTCTCGTTTTTCTCCGGCGGCTTCTCGACCGGCTTCTCGAATCTCGGTCGAAGAAGCCGCGGATTTCCGTGGTGCGTAAAAATAATTTCGCGGCGGAATAAAAGAAAACGAAGGGGGGAGGGGGCGGGTTTGCGGCGAGGAGGCGCGAGGAAATACCGACGCGCGGAATCCGTCGCTTTTCCTCGTGTTTCTTACACCGAGGGCCCGGACGAAAACAGCCGGCGACGTGCTGCGCCTGTGTCTGTGTGTGTATGTGTGTGTGTGTGTGTGTATGTGTGTGTATGTGTGTGTCTCTCCTGGGTATTTCATGACACAAATATCTTCTCGGCAGCCTGGAATTCCACTTTTCCTTTTTCGCTTGTCCCGACGAACGGCGCCTTTCGTTCTCCTCTTAAAACGTGTCCCCGTGTCGCCGATAGAAACATTTCCGACTCTCGCCGGCGAATCGCGCCTCTATTTCGCGCGAGTCCGATAACGCGAGTCTCTTCCCGTCTCTCTTTATCAATGACACATCTCGGATCTGTCTATCGAAGCATGGAGTCTCTTCCTTTTTTACATGCAATCCTCCCATCAGTTAGAAAACGGCTTCTTCTTCGTGAAAATTTGATGAAATAAGATCCGACTTTTGATGATTCTCTCCTCCTCCTCCTCCTCCTCCTCTCTCTCTCTCTCTCTCTCTCTCTCTCTCGAAAATCCACATGCGTTCGTATCACAATTGCGTTTCATACCCTGTTGAGAAAAAAGAGAAAAGGAGCAAAGCGCCTTGCACACGAGTAAGGTCGATTCGTTCGCGACCGATCGTCCATGCGCGAAAATCGCGAAGGAGGCCGGAACGAATTCGCACGGCTACCATCTTCGAGCGCCGCTGCCTGCCCACTCGCATTTATTTGCATTTCGCTCATTTAAGTATAGACTTGTTTTCGAAAATCCCGAGGAAGAACGGAGTTAGTTGCCAAAGACCGCCACGAAAGAACAGAAGTGTAATGAAGTGCGAGTCTCCGATGTAATGACAAACGGGTCGGAAGACGTAAGAAATGAGAATCTTGCTTCGCGCGGAAACTTACATCGTAAAACATGCCCCATTTACTCTCAGCAAGTGTGTATATATCTTCCGAGCAAATATATACGTACATACAAGTGTCCTGACGCGTAAACGCCGTGTAGTGCAGCCAAGCGTGCAGCAACTTGATATGATACTCTTTTAAATGGACGCGCGTTACGTCGTCGCCGTCGAAATTCCAGTCAAATTGACGGACAATCGTTAAAGGGTGAAGATTTGATCGATGGACAGAGAAAACGGAGAAAACGCGACCGAGAACGGGAAAACAAATGCACCGCGCGTCCGCGCCAGCGGACACTTTCCTCCCACCCGATTGACGCGTCACTCAACCTGACCCGCCGTCTCGCCAGGTGTGAGGAGACGGAAGAAAAGGAAACGACGCCGACGGAGGGACAGATAGAGATAGGTAGAGAGAGGGAGAAAGAGACAGAGAGATGATTAATTCCCACTAGCACTTTATTTTCCGCCACGGTGGCCGCGCGCCAAGTGCGAATTCCACGCGGCGGCGAGACTTTTTCCACTCCTCCGGGGAGCCTTTTCCGATCGAATTGGCGTGTCGTATGTGCCGTTTGCCAATCGCGAGCTCGCGACAGCGGTTAAACGCGTGTTCCTTCCAAGAGAGCGTCTCGCGTTAAATGATGAAGGAAGTCGACGGTAGTGTTTGCGGTAAGAAAGTGTATCTTTCTTTTTTCCGCTTTTTTTCTTTTTCTTTTTTTCTTTTTTCTTTTTTTCATCAGAAATCACTCACGCTGCTTCCGCGACATTTTCGCTCAATAAAGGAAGTCGACGGTCGTATTTGCCGTAAAAAGAATGTATCTTTTCCTTTTTTTCCTATTTTTCTCTCTCTCTTTTTTTTTTTTTTCCACCAGAAATCATTCACGCTGATGCCACTCAGTATCTTCCCTCAACCGACCTTACTGTATTCCGCTACGCTTTCGTCTCTTCCGTTTTTGTGTACAACACCTTGTTTATATTTAAGAATATATACCTTTACATATTTTTATCTCTTATTAATTGTCTTGTGATAATTGTATTTTTATCTTAGAATAACGAACGCGTGTCAATCGTCGTTGCGCGAA